AAAATATAAAAATCTTTGTATTTGGGTGAAAAACAAAAAAATGGCACGAGTTTAAAAATTTTACATGTCGTAGGTACCCTACTTTGAGCCGCCACAGCGCCGTCCCTGGGGCATCTGCAGGGTTCATCTTCAAAACTTAAACTCGAATACTCCTTGGCTACGCTCACGCCAAATTTTATCCCGATCGGATCAGCCGTTTAGAAATGCCAGATTTATTTCCAAAAAATTTCCATTCTGCCCCACTGTGATACTGGTATTTTTTTAATAGTTATAGGCGTTAAAGTCATATTCTAAGGGAAGGTAGATTTCATATATCGTCCGAATCTAATAAAATTAGATATGTAGGTAAATTAAGGTTCCAATAAAAATTTCATACGTCGAATTCTGTTGCTCTGCCAAAACTAAATCTTGCCAAATTTCAACATCTATATATATAAAAATGAATGTGTGTTTGTTTGTATGTTTGAACGTTATAGACTACTAAACGGCTGAACCGATTTTCTTGAAATTTTCACAGCATATTCCTGCATGTCTGAAATAGGTAATAGGCTACTTTTTATTTCGAAATTTCAAGTGGGTGATGAGCCACGCCCACATTAAGAAAATATAAAATCTGTATATTTTAGATAATATAACAGTTAGAGTCCTCAAATTTTGTCGGAGCCACTTTAGTGTCAATATGATCATTTAGGACAAAAAGTAGGCGGACTAGCATTAGGGGGCGTGGTACCTCCCATATAAATTAAATACAAAAATTCGTTTATCTGGGAAACTAATAGAACTAAATTCTTAAAATTTAGCACGAAGAACTTTAACATCCATATAAACATTTTGGGTAATAAATTGGCGGACTAGCCATGAGGGGAGCGGCACCTCCCATATTAATTAAATACAAAAATTCGTTTATCTGGGAAACTAATAGAACTAAATTCTTAAAATTTTGCACAAAGAACTTTAACATCAATATAAACATTTTGGGTAAAAAATTGGCGGACTACCCATGAGGAGAGCGGCACCTCCCATATTAATTAAAAACAAAAATTCGTTTATCTGAGAAACTAATAGAACTAAATTCTTAAAATTTTGCACGAAGAACTTTAATATTCATCTGAACATTTTTAAGGAAAAAAGAGCGGACTTTCATCTGGGGGGCTTGGAGCCCCCATATGAATAAAATAGAAAAATTCGTATATCTGAGAAACAATTAGAGCTAGAATCATTAAATTTTACTTGAAGAACTTTGACATTCACCTAAACATTTAGAATATAACGGGCGGACTTCCAATGGGTTACTTGGTACCTCCCATATGAATTAAATACAAAATTTCGTTTAACTGGGAAACTAATAGAACTAGATTCTTCAAATTTTGAACAAATTATTTTAATAATCATCTGAATATTTTGGAGGAAAAAGGGCGGTCTTTCATCCGGGGGGCTTGAAGCCCCCACATGAATTAAATTCGTATATCTGAGAAACTATTAGAGCTAGAATCTTCAAATTTTACATGAAGAACTTTGACATTCATGTGAACATTTAGAGAATAACGGGCGGACTTTCAATGGGGGGCTTGGCACCACATATATGAATTAAATACAAAATTTCGTGCATCTTGTAAACTCTTATATTATTCAAATTTTTTGTAGATAGATAGAAATTGGCGATAGATAGAAACTGGCGAACTTGCAATAATTTGCTTGACATCTTTCATATGTAACATATAATAAATCTGGTATTTATTTATACATATTCCTTTTAGGGTAGCAAAGCACACTGGGTATAGCTAGTTATCTATATATATAAAAATGAATGTGTGTTTGTTTGTATGTTTGTATGTTTGAACGTTATAGACTACTAAACGGCTGAACCGATTTTCTTGAAATTTTCACAGCATATTCCTGCATGTCTGGAATAGGTAATAGGCTACCTTTTATTTCGAAATTTCAAGTGGGCGATGAGCCACGCCCACATTAAGAAAATATAAAATCCGTATATTTTAGATAATATAACAGTTAGAGTCCTCAAATTTTGTCGGAGCCACTTTAGTGTCAATATGATCATTTAGGACAAAAAGTAGGCGGACTAGCATTAGGGGGCGTGGTACCTCCCATATAAATTAAATACAAAAATTCGTTTATCTGGGAAACTAATAGAACTAAATTCTTAAAATTTAGCACGAAGAACTTTAACATCCATATAAACATTTTGGGTAATAAATTGGCGGACTACCCATGAGGGGAGCGGCACCTCCCATATTAATTAAATACAAAAATTCGTTTATCTGGGAAACTAATAGAACTAAATTCTTAAAATTTTGCACAAAGAACTTTAACATCCATATAAACATTTTGGGTAAAAAATTGGCGGACTACCCATGAGGAGAGCGGCACCTCCCATATTAATTAAAAACAAAAATTCGTTTATCTGGGAAACTAATAGAACTAAATTCTTAAAATTTTGCACGAAGAACTTTAATATTCATCTGAACATTTTTAAGGAAAAAAGAGCGGACTTTCATCTGGGGGGCTTAGAGCCCCCATATGAATAAAATAGAAAAATTCGTATATCTGAGAAACAATTAGAGCTAGAATCATTAAATTTTACTTGAAGAACTTTGACATTCACCTGAACATTTAGAATATAACGGGCGGACTTCCAATGGGTTACTTGGTACCTCCCATATGAATTAAATACAAAATTTCGTTTAACTGGGAAACTAATAGAACTAGATTCTTCAAATTTTGAACAAATTATTTTAATAATCATCTGAATATTTTGGAGGAAAAAGGGCGGACTTTGAAGCCCCCACATGAATTAAATTCGTATATCTGAGAAACTATTAGAGCTAGAATCTTAAAATTTTACATGAAGAACTTTGACATTCATGTGAACATTTAGAGAATAACGGGCGGACTTTCAATGGGGGGCTTGGCACCACACATATGAATTAAATACAAAATTTCGTGCATCTTGGAAACTCTTATATTATTCAAATTTTTTGTAGATAGATAGAAATTGGCGATAGATAGAAACTGGCGAACTTGCAATAATTTGCTTGACATCTTTTATATGTAACATATAATAAATCTGGTATTTATTTATACATATTCCTTTTAGGGTAGCAAAGCACACTGGGTATAGCTAGTTGATACATAAGTAACATTTTTATGATAGCTAAAACTATATTTCGGGGACCACTTTTAAATTTTATGAAAATACGTTCATAATAGACCCTACCCGGCATTTATGGTCTTCTGCAGAAAATGACTTTAATGCTCATTACTGGATTAAAAACGCCAGAATAGCAATGAAATTCGACATAAATGGGTTTTATACGAACTAAAATCTCTTTATCAAATTTTTTATTTTTAATTGGGTCATAATTATAAGGTCTTCGTCAGAAAATTAAACCTATCAAATCTTATGAAAATCGGTACATAAGCCGTCTTACAGAAAATCTATATATATAAAAATGAAAGTATACTGCTAAACGGCTGGACCGATTTTCCTGAAATTTTCACGGTTTCTTCCTGAATGTCTGGAAGGAACTATAGGTTACTTTTTATGTTGAAATTTCAAGTCGGCGACGTTCCACGCCCATAGTATATCTGAGATAATATAACAGCTAGAGTCTTCAAATTTTGTCGGAGCAACTTTAATATAAATATATAATTATTTAAGACAAAAAGTGGGCGGAATAGCATTAGGGGGCGTGGCACCTCCCATATAGATTAAATACAAAAATTCGTTTATCTTGGAAACTATTACAGTTAGAATATTAAAAATTTGCACGAGTAACTTTAAAATCCATGTAAACATTTTGGGAAATAAATTGGCGGACTATCCATGAGGGGAGCAGCACCTCCCATATTAATACAATACAAAAATTAGTTTATCTGGGAAAATAATTGAACTAAATTCTTCAAATTTTGCACTAAGAACTTAAATATTCATCTGAACATTTTGGAGAAAACAGAGCGGACTTTCGTCATGGGGGGGGCTTGGAGTCCCCATATAAATTAAATAGAAAAATTCGTATATCTGAGAAACTATTAGAGCTAGAATCTTCAAATTTTAATTGAAGAATTTTGACATTCATGTGAACATTCAGAGAATAATGGGCGGACTTTCAATGGGGATCTTGGCACCTCACATAGGAATTAAATACAAAATTTCGCTTATCAGGGAAACTAATAGAACAAGATTCTTCAAATTTAGCAAGAAGAACTTTTGAGACATATGAACATTTTGATGGAAAAAATGGCGGACTTTCATCTGGGGGTTTTGAGTTCCCATATGAATTAAATAGAAAAATTCGTATATCTGAGAAACTATTAGAGCTAGAGTCTTCAAATTCTACATGAAGATCTTTGACATTCATGTGAACATTTAGAGAATAACGGGCGGACTTTCAATGGGGTCTTGACACCCCCTATATGAATTAAATACAAAATTTCGTATATCTGGGAAAATATTAGATTTTATTTAAATTTGTCATCGATTACATTAAAATCTTAATTAACGTTCGGAAAAATTGTATCTCTGGAAAACATTACAGTTAGAATCTTCAAAATTATTAAGAAGATTTTTTATTTATATTGCTTTTAGGGTAGCAAAGCAAAGTATAGCTAGTATGTTTATAATTTTCGATAAACTTGATTTGTTTTTTTATAATTAATTAAAATAAGTATCAATATTTGTGTTATTAGGAAACACCACTAAAGTGGTGTAGGGTAAAGTGAACTAAATTATTTCTCTCACATTTAATTTGAAACATTAATATGAAAACTATGTATGTATTTATATGTGTATTAAAACATTTATGCATGTAATCCTATCCATTTTGACAATTATGAAATATGTACCTATGTTATTCATGGGTAATCCAATTTAAATATTTGTAATGTATAAGCTGAATGAATGTAAATATTTATATCCGCCGAAATGTTATGTAAACGAAGTTAATTTTAATATTTAAAATTGATTATCAAAATACACTTACCTTTTTGCCATTTATAAGCCATGTAATGTGTGGTGCTGGTCGGGCACGTGTTGTATTACATAATGCCATTAGACGCTCGCCAATAGCCACAGGACTGCGTTTACGGAACCTGATCACCGGTGGGCCCGTTTGTGGTACTACATGTTTTAAAAGAAAATACCAAAAACTCAGGTTTAATGTTAATTTTAAAAGAGAAAATGTATATGTATACTTACAAAATACATTCATAAATTGTTCCACAGATGCTTTTGTATACAATGGTGAGGTCATTGATACCTCACAGGTAAATTGTCCGGATAATTTAAAATCAACATTAGCCAAAGTCACTTGAGATTCATTTGAATTTTCCCACTGAAAGCATGAACAAATACATAAAACGAGAAAAACAGAACCTCGTTACAATCAAGTTAATAATCGTTTAACCCAGTTTCAATGAGTTTTCTGATATATAATTTTTTCTGTTTGTTGGTTGGTTTGTTTGTGTTTTTTATTGCCACTAGCTAATAAAAGCAATGGAGTGTAGTTTATAAATGAATTCATGGAGTTCGACTGTATGGTTGTATGGCTATGTGTTTATGTACTTACATCGATGATTGCTCCTTCCATGGTAAAATTTTTAAACGGTGGTTTTCGTCCCTTAACAAATTCAAAAAATTTCATTTCTTCCCTAAACCATGATACCTGCAATAAAAATCAATGACAAAGGAAAAAATGAAAACCAAACACTTTAACATACATACATGCTCTTATAAATACCAATACAAAATATGTATATACAAATATACAATAATATTAATAACAAAAATCAATATTTAGGTTTAGACATTTTATTAAATTGAACATATTGCAGGCAAGAAGGAAAAACCTTGAATATGATCAGGGAAGGATTTATAAGTAAAATGATTTAAAGTTAAAATAAGGCCCATTATATGTACACTCCGAAAGGAAGTTTGTATATGACGAAATCATTATCATGTACATATACTGATAGAAAAATAAATTTATCAAATAAATAATATTAGTTTCCCTCCACACCATCCATGGAGAAATCTGATCACGCTAATCAACATTTTTTTAAGAACGTCTATCTTATTCGGCGTCTTGTGATTGTACAGGAAAAAATATAGCAATTTAAAGCAAATTTTAAAACAATTTTTTGGGATTTTATATCTGCAATAAAGTTTCGATGATTTTGAACAATAATTGAATTTTGAGCTTCGTGTGGGTCAGGGCTTTATAATTATACCCTACACCACTTTAGTGGGGAGGGTATATTGGATTTGTGCTGATGTTTGTAACATATACAAATATTCGTCTTAGACCCACCTTAAAGTATACCAATCGGCTTAGAATCGCTTTCTGAGTCGATTAAGTTATGTCCGTCCGTCCGTCCGTCCGTCTGGCTGTCCATGTAAACCTTGTGTGCAAGCTATAGGTCGCAATTTTCAAGATAATTGGATGAAATTTGGCACGCACGTCTTATTTGACCCAAGGACGAAGCCTATTGAAAATGGTTAAAATCGGTCCATTATTTCACCTAGCCCCCATAGAACAGAACCGCCCGAAAAGGGCTTCTGAGCTCATAATTATGTTAAATAAACAGATATATCGATAAAATACGGCACAACTAAGTTTTATAGAAGTCTTGATAACCCTGCCAAATTTCATAAAGATCGGGCCCCATTTGACCCTAGCTCCCATACAAAGTCCCCTTCAGAAAATTACTTGAATGTCCCAAATTAACTTATAAACACAAATATCGCGATGAAATTCAGCACAATAAAATATTATGTAAATATAAATATATTCACAGAATTTTATCGGGCTTGGTCCATATTTGCCCCTAGGCCCCATATAAAGCCTCTTTCAGAAAATTAGTTTTTCATCCATAAATTGCTTAAATGTATCGGAACAAGGGAATAAATGCGATATTATGAAAAATAAATCACATTTAATATTCATAACTGGTGTAGGGTATCATATGGTCGGCCACGCCCGACTATACTTTCTTACTTGTTTTTTATGAGTTTATTATTATTTTTGCATGAAGAAAATATTTAGTACAAATATTTTTAACCTTCTGCTAGAGACATCTTGGTGCAAAAACCTTCCAAGGAAAAATCGGATTTCTAAAAACATTCACTAATAAATATACATAAAATTTTAATAGTAAAGCATTAATATCGCTTTATGTGAATTGTCCTTTCATTATTTTTGAAAATCTCATTGTACAATTATGCGATATCAAATGTGAATTGGACACTGATTACAAACATATATCTGAATATCTACATCAGAAACAAATATTTTTAAATAAATATTAGACATCAGTGATGCCCGGTCCGCTATCTATAGGTAGTTAGGTAGATAGAAAGATAGATATATAGATATATAGTTAGATAGCTAGTAGATAGATAGATAGATAGATAGATAGATAGTAGATAGATAGATAGATAGATAGATAGATAGATAGATAGATAGATAGATAGATAGATAGATAGATAGATAGATAGATAGATAGATAGATAGATAGATAGATAGATAGATAGATAGATAGATAGATAGATAGATAGATAGATAGATAGATAGATAGATAGATAGATAGATAGATAGATAGATAGATAAATAGATAGATAGATAGATAGATAGATAGATAGATAGATAGATAGATAGATAGATAGATAGATAGATAGATAGATAGATAGATAGATAGATAGATAGATAGATAGATAGATAGATAGATAGATAGAGATAGATAGATAGATAGATAGATAGATAGATAGATAGATAGATAGATAGATAGATAGATAGATAGATAGATAGATAGATAGATAGATAGATAGATAGATAGATAGATAGATAGATAGATAGATAGATAGATAGATAGATAGATAGATAGATAGATAGATAGATAGATAGATAGATAGATAGATAGATAGATCGATAGATAGATAGATAGATAGATAGATAGATAGATAGATAGATAGATAGATAGATAGATAGATAGATATATAATACAAACATTCTTACGGATTAAATATAGTTGGAGGAAATCTGACCACTTTCATTATTGACTTATTTATATTAGTATCCTAGGGCTCTTTCCAAAATATTACCCACATTATTTGCTTCTTAAATATGCAAATATGCTACAATACACGTATGTTTGTTTATAATTATTTTTAAACTGCATGTTATATAACCTCAATAACCAAAGTACATTGGCCCCATCTTAATTGTATGTACGTAAGCATGTCAATATCAGTACAAACCTCAATTAGACACTCTTATCTATTTTAAAATGAAATCAGGAATAAGATCCTGTAAAAAATTCAAGTTGTCAAAATTGAAATTGATTGACATTTCCATGTCAAATACCATTTTCTATTTTGTACTCTTGTATGTGCCCTCACTCTACATAGTTTATTTTTCCCATTTTGTAACTTTTTTTGTTATTTTTTTCTGCGACCACAGGAGAGAGAAAAAAATCCAAGACATAAGTGGTTCACCATTATTGACAGCGATGACGTTGATATTTACTAAATTGATATATAAAGAAATATATAGTAAGAATAGAAAACCTGACAGGTTTCGTTAAAACGTTGGCTAAAACAAATTTGAGGGGAACGGAAGTTGTCATTGTAATATTCATCCCACTATACTTAAATTCCACCTGTGGTAGTTTTTATTCTTATTAGTTTTTCTATTGTACTGAGAGTACAATAAACATTTTTAGTTAAACACACAAATTGGTAAAGAGAAATTGTGTGGGATGCGAAATAGCGGGATATTCCAATAAATATCAATGTTAAATCGATTTGGTTATAGACATACATATATTTTATTCACATTTCGGGGGACTAGTCTATTCCAAACAATATAACATAACCGTAAGATTCTTATAATTGCACAATATCCTTATGTAATATACATATTTTGGCTGCGTCATTATTTATTTATTTGGTCTTCTTCCTTAAGAAGTGTCCTTTATAATTAAAAGAACTTAAATAAATAAAACAAAAAGTAGCATATTATGTATGAACTTAAAAGTAAATTTACTTTTACTCTTTTTCCATTTATATAATTATATTTGAGTAAATATTTATTTTGGTGTGTAACACTTTGTTAACAATGAAATGTTTGAACTGGAACACAAACAAATACAAATTAAAGGAAAATATTTTTTTACAGGTACAAACTTATGGGGCGTTGGTTTTCCATAGACAAATAATGCGCAAAAATTGCTGAAAACTTTTACAGCACAGACAGCTAAGAATATCAACCTTAAAGTATACCAGTCGTCACATAGATAATTACAAAGTGTGACGAAATTACAAAAGGTGGATACAATCCTTTTCGAATAACTTTTTATACGCTCCCCCACCATCAGTGTTGATAGAGAGTATATATAAATTTGTCATTCCGTTTGTAACACCAATATTTACCTGAGACCCAACAAAGTATATGTTTATATTCTGGGTCCTTATTAAATTCTGAGTCAATTTAGCTATGTCCGTCTGTCTGACTGCCTGGTTAAAACATGCTCACGTTAAAACTAAGCAAATAATTGTTGTACTAAGCAGTTTGGTATTGAAAATCAGCAAAATCGGTCTACAACTTAAAAAGTTATGACTAAAAATTTCAGAGTACCTCGAAAAAATACGTTTTTTCCTAATTCTTGAGTAGTTTTCTCATAAACTACCAAAGATAAATGGATGAATTTTGACATACGTTATTTTTTTTCATCCAGAGATTAATTCATTTCAAAATTGTAACATTCCATCCAAAATTTCCCATCCGGAAATGAATTTATCGTTAATAACTGCCAGAAATATACCGGTATCAACACATAATTTTGTACATCTTGATATAATATGACCGATACCGACTTAGTTCTGTAACGGTTCTAAATTGGTCATAGCTCCCACATCGGAAAATCAATTAAACGCGCATAATTCGGGATAAAAGTCGACATGACTTTTGTGTATACATATATGTACTATATTTTTTTTTCAGTATCGGTTCATAATTGGTCATAGCTCCAATATAAAGCTACTTTCGGAAATGCACATATTTATACTATATTACATTAATTAATAAAGCTATCGGGGTAAAACTAGACGTGTATATGTTTGTATACATATTTTTATCGGATCAGTTCTCAATTGGTCATATATGACCATATGAGTTTTAATAAAAAATAGCTTGCGGGTGCAGGGTTTTTAAGATTCGGCTTAGCCGAATATAGCTTGTTTTTTAACTTGTTGTATTTTTAAATTTTGCATTTTGTATGTATGTATGTATGTATTATGTATGTATGTATGTATGTATGTATGTATGTATGTATGTATGTATGTATGTATGTATGTATGTAGTATGTATGTATGTATGTATGTATGTATGTATGTATGTATGTATGTATGTATGTATGTATGTATGTATGTATGTATGTATGTATGTATGTATGTATGTATGTATGTATGTATGTATGTATGTATGTATGTATGTATGTATGTATGTATGTAGTATGATGTATGTATGTATGATGTATGTATGTATGTATGTATGTAGTATGTATGTATGTATGTATGTATGTATGTATGTATGTATGTATGTATGTATGTATGTATGTATGTATGTATGTATGTATGTATGTATGTATGTATGTATGTATGTATGTATGTATGTATGTATGTATGTATGTATGTATGTATGTATGTATGTATGTATGTATGTATGTATGTATGTATGTATGTATGTATGTATGTATGTATGTATGTATGTATGTACGTATGCATGTATGTATGTATGTATGTATGTATGTACGTATGCATGTATGTATGTATGTCCGTCTGTTTTTTAATTACCAATATAGTGATGGAATTCGACATAAGCAGGTTTTATACGAAACAAAAGCTCTACCAAATTTTATGAACATCGGGCCAGAAAATATACGTAATAAATGAGTAATTTCTTTAAGACAATAACAAAAGAATTGCTTCATAAGTATCAAACATTTAATATAGGGGATCATTCCTTTTACGGCATATGATTTGATGAATCGGCATAACCGTATATAAAACTCTTCCTTATATTTGCTTTATACCGTTTAAAAAGGTTTTAAAAAGACTAATATGTAATTGTATCGTTATTTCACCACAGACTAATGAGTAAACGTTATTATATTTGAATGGATATTCGTAGCAGCATACATACTTATATATGAATCTTAGAAACGTTAGAAATTCGTCACAAATTTTATTTTAAACTTTTTTCAACGCATCTTAATGCATGTGTTAAAATAGTCAATGAAAAGTTTCAGTTCGGATCTGCAACCTCAAATTGCAGGGTTTATCCTGCAAAACTACACGCTCAGACACATCTCAGTAAGTAGTTCACATGCTTGTAATACATTTTTACAATCAGTGGTTCGTTTCAATTCGCTGGTATTTATTTTTGCATTTGAGTTTTAATTGGCTTTAATTTTCTGTTTTCTAATTTTTTTTTTTACATTTTGTAAAAATACAGTTGTGTGTATATTTCAGCCGCAGTTCCGCTTTAAACGCGTTGTGTTTCTAGTTAATTTATCCATTAAAAAGGAGCAAAAGGAACACTTAATGTTGAATTACATTTGTATGGACTACAAGTGCTCGAGTGTTGTAAAGTGTTCGTGTGCGTAGAAAAGAGTATATTATCCTTTTGTAGCACGTTTATTGCTATTTGTTTCACCATAATCAGAGGCATTTGGTCAAGTATCTGGAGGGAGGTGGTTGGAGGTATTTGTAGTGGTCGTTTGTTTAAATAAAGTTGCAGGTGGGGATGGAGTGCCGAGAATATGAGTTCATTTATACAGTAAATTAAATGTATTAGTCGCGGTTTTGCAATTAGTCTTAACATGACCACAATGTCGATGCCGCGCCATTAATTCTTTTGACCTTAGTCTAGGGCTTATGTTAAATGTTGTATAACACGAGGTCGGTTTGTTTTTTTTTTTTTTTTTTTTTTTGTATTTCTGTAAAAGCCAAAACATTTAACCCAATTACACACTTTCACTGTATTTTATGTACATTTAGGGTTTTTTGTCCATATTTAATGGTTTTTAGGGATTCGTACATTATTTCACCTTAATTATGTTCTTATTTATATATGTTGTTCTATTTGGCCATAACAAAAATATTTAGTTTTTGTTTTAATATTTATGAAATTGATACTTAAGTTTCCAAGAGATTATTATTTTTTTGAAATTGTTTGTAAAATAATTATTTAAATTTAACAATTTATTTTGGGTTGAATAACCAGTAAACAGTTATGATAATGACTGACTGACTAAACCTTAAATCAAACAAGACTAATCATCCAGCAATGTTCCAAATGCTAACTGGGCCGTAATAGATTGAAACATTATTAAATACATACGAAAAATTTTTTCTAAAAAAATAAGTTCTAGAACGAGCACAAACAGAAACACTTCGGATTATTAAACAAAAACTTTGTACATAGTAATTGCCATTACTTCTTTAACTTGTTTTGTTTCTTAAATAGGTCTTAAGTGTTTTCAAGGAACTAGATCATTGACACTAGTTATACATTGCTACGTTCCAAGGTTGACAAAACCAAACAAAAATCATTATTCTAGGAAAGGTTCCAGAACCATTCCAAAGAAAGAAGGTCGACTTCATAACAAAGTGACAATTTCGAACACAAATCATTGGTCCGAACACCAAATTAGAACAAGTATAGCATAAAATAATAAGCTCTAGAACTAGTTGTGAAACTAATACAATTTTTTTCAAATCATAATTTAAACAAGTTAGAGTGCTATATTCGGCTGAGCCGAAACTTAAATACCCTCCACCAGCTACTTTTATATTAATACTTTTTTAATTGATCAAATATTTGTATAAATAATCTTTCTCATGTCTTAAATAGAAAAACCCCAAGATTTAAACAGCTTAAATCTGTTACAGTTGCAAGATTTCTTGAACATTACAAACGCCATTCTTTTTTATATAACTAACTAACTAACTAAGTGATTTTCGGAGGGGAATCTTGTATGGGACCGATCGCACCTATATTATGAACAGATCGTGAAAAAATCTTAAAATATAATTTTTGTATACAAAACTAATATTTGTGCAAAATTTTGTATCAATAGCTTTATTTGGTAATGAGTAATGTGCGTTTAAGAGATTTTCGTGAGAGGACCTTGTATTGGAGCTATGACCAATTATGTTCCGATCGTAAAAAATTCCAAAGCAACATTAATGTATATAAAGGCAAAATTCTGTATATATCATTATTTGGTAATGAATATTGGGCATTCAAGTGGTTTTCTGGAGAGGACCATGTATGGGAGCTATGATCAAATATGGAACGATCGTAAACAAATTTTATAGTGTGATTTATGTATATAAGAGCAATATTTGTGCTAAATGTATCGATATCAATATTTAGTTATGAGTTATGTGCGTTTAAGTGATTTTCGGAAAGGAACCTTGTATGGGAGCTATGACCAAATATGAACCGATCGTGAAAAAATTTTGAAATAACATTTCTGTGTACAAAAATAGTATTTATGACAAATTTTTTATGTAATATATTTGGTAATGAGTTGTGTGCCTTTAAGTGTTTTTCTGTAGTGGACCTTGTATGGGAGCTATGACCAATTACGGACCGATTGGAAAAAAATTTCATAGTAATATTTCTGTATATAAGAGCTATACTTATACCAAATTTTATATGGATTTCTTAATTAGTAATGAGTTATGCGCTTTTAAGTGATTTTCGGGAGGGGACCTTGTATGAGTACTATGACCAATTATGAACCGATCCAGAATTTTTTTTTGTAAATGAATTCTATTCACATAGAATTTTGATTTGTAAAATTTTGTGAGGATATCAACATTCTGACGGAAGTTAATAACAATAAACTTTTTTCCGGGAATATGTACTTTTGTATGGGAGGTATAATAAATTGTGGACCGATTACTGCAATTTTCCCGATGTGAACCGATTTTGCTGCCTAGGACAATAGAGAATATTCTGGTCCAATTTCAATAACTTATTTCACTTCGTTTTTACGTAAGCGTGTTTTACAGAGACAGACAGACAGAATCGACACAGAATTTCATAAGGACAAAGAATATATATTCAGATGAATATTTCTTGGTGTTACACACGGAATATCAAAGTTATATATACCCCCTATCACCATTCATGGTGGTGGAGGGTATAAACATTTGTTATGGTATTAGTTACAAACTGATTAAAACTTACAAACTCTATATTTTTGCAAGTTTCATAACGCCATATATTTTGTTTATCTATTAATTCAATTATAAGATTTTCTTATATAAATATTCTATAATAAAGGTTTCATGAAAAGGTAACAAATTTATTTCGTAAAATCAGTAGACTTGAACACTTTCAAAAGAAATTCTGAAACCAATTATTTAAAAGCTGCATTAAATTTTATACTTAATACTTAATAAAAACATCATCATAATCATACTCATTTTCGTTGTCCTTGTTTTTCTTACCTTGAATAGAACACTCGAATCTACATCATGCAGACATTCTAATGTCGCACTGGCACCACGTTCCACCCATCTCGGCACCTTTAACTGCACATCGGCATCCGTGTGAGCGTCTGTAATGAATGATAAAAATCCAGAGTGTTAATAAATTTTATTTTATACTTTAAGCAGCACACAGCTGAAAGCAAAAAATAATACAAGAATCCGAATAAAAGTAAATAATAAAATGGCTAAAATGGAATTACAGAGAAAAATGGAATGTTTAAAACTTTCCATTTTGGCTAAAAGTAAATGTTTTCATTCCCCCAGAGTATAATTTTCTAGGTCATAAACGAGAGCATGACAAAGCTGGGCAAATCAAGTGCAGAGATAAAATGGAAGATGAAAGCAAATGAAGAAAAATACAAATTAAAATCCAAAACTCTGTCGAAATAACCTTGAAATAAAATATACTTGTAACAGACTGAATGAATAGATGCCACTGCCAGGCTGGCTGGTTGGTTGGCTGCCTAACTAACCAAGTTTAACTAATCATCCAACCATTCCTTTTACTCCGCTCTGGAAGTTTAAGCGCATATGAAGTGGTCTTCATCTAAAGCAATGATAAGATTTAAATGTAACAAATGATTTAAGAGACTTAAAGTGAAATACTGCAGAAACACAGAAGAGCAAATGGAAAAAAAACAAGTGTCTGGAAAAATTACTTACGTTTAATTACGAGTTAAAGGATTAAATTGTTAATACTTTTTATTCTCTAATTTCCTAATAGCTGGTATTAGTTTGGATAATAGCAAGTTGTATATTTCTTTTATTTTTTTATTTCTTTATAATTCAGAGGAAATGTTATGGTATGAGTATTTAATGACATGTGAATATAACATTTTAATTGTAATGTAGAAAGATTAAAATTATATTTCTTAATTAAATTAAAACAAATTACAGCGCTATATTCGGTTGTGCCGAATCTTAAAAACCCTCCACCAGCAAGCTATTTTTAATTAAAACCCATTTAACTATCTAATTTTTAGATAACTTGGCGAAATTGTTGTTTCCTTATTAAATGCATGTCAATCTAATTTTAATTAAGTCCAGAAAAATGTATATTAATAGGCCAGTTCGAAAACATTTTAATATAATGATATATCTTTACACAGAACATATTCTTGTCGAATTTTATCCGGATATAATCATTTAATAACGAATTAAGTGGTATTAAGTGATTTTCAGAAGTAAACCTTGTATGGGAGCAAAGACAACTTATGGACCGATCAGGAAAAAATTCGGTAGAATGATTTATATGCTCACAAAACACACAAAACATAAACATATTCGTACTTTATCGCGATAGCTTTATTATTCAAAGAAACATATGCGTTTAAGTGATTTTTGTAAGTGGACCTTATATGGGAGCCTATCCGGAAAAAATTTCGTAGAGAGATTCATATAAAGACAAAACATATTTGTGTCAAATTTTATCTAGTGTTTATAAGCCAACTTTTGGAAAAACCGGTTTTTCGGTTAACCGACCATTTCTAAAAAACCGGCTTGTCGGTTAACCGAGTACAACAAAACCGGTTAACCAAAATTTTTGGAAATCTTTAAAATATAATATTTAATTTCATTTTGCGAAATATTATGAATTACTTAATAAGATATTTGCACTTTTTAGTATAGATATGTACATTAATATATCATAAGAAAGCAAACTTATGCAGATCTGAAGTTATTATTGATTCGTCAGGTATATGGAAGTTGCCATATGAGGAATAAATTGACCTTTGAATATATAACGCATCTATGTCAATAAAAAATTTAATGTCCAAGACTATCAAGTATACATAGTGTTCAGGCTCGCGACGATTCATCGGGAACGGAAGCAGACGACAACTGTATCGACATAGATATTGAGCCCATGCTTTAACTGTGACTCCCTCCGCTCACTACGCCTGTTGCTGTTCAAATTACTGTGAATGACACTTAGGAATATTGACAGGCGTCATTCTTACTTCCTTTTAATCAACCTAAGCGCCATTACAGTTTGTGAAAAACTCCAGCAGCATAAATTCTCGACAGCGACAATAACCCTTATGTTTCGATAAATAAAATCCGTTTTAAGAACGTTTGAGAAACTTCTCGATTTTTATTATACTCACGCAGTAAACAAGGAAGTGCATTTCATCATCAAAGTTATTTATTCGTCTTAATAATTAACAAATTTCTTCATATAATGGTTGGAATTTATATAATAGGTAATTTTTTATTAGTTTAAATGCCAACTTTTTACTAATTTCCTGATTGTCTGAAATTGTAAATCTCCATTTTATATGCATAGTATATGTTTAACATTTCCTAACATTTGTTTAACAATCTTATCTATTCAAAATTTTTAAAAATCACAATAAAAAATCAAAGAAAACATACAATTTTGTACTAAAAATTAGATTTTTTTTGGAACCAGTTAACCGAGACTTAAAAACCGGATAACCCGGTTAACCAAAAACCAATATTTTAAAAAAACCGGTTTGCGAAAAACCGAAATATGCAATAAAAACCGGTTCTTCGGTTAACCGGTTTATGAACACTAATATTATCATGATAACTTTATTTGACAATGAAATATGTGCATTTAAGTGATTTTCGGAAATGGGCCTTATATGGAATCTATGACCAATTATGGGCATATTCAGAAAAAATTTCGTAGAGTGATTCATATTTAGACAAAACATATTTGTGTCGAATTTTATCAAGATAGCTTTATTTGACAATGAAATCTGTGCTTTTAAATGATTTTCAGAAGTGGGCCTTATATGGGAGCTATGACCAATTGTGGGCCGACTGAGATATACGTTGATATTATGATTTCTGTTTACATTATATTTGCATGTACAAAATTTTGTGTTGATACCGATATATTTGAGGGACTGTACTTTGTTGGGTCTTAAATGAATATTTCTTGGTGTTACACACGGAATGACAAACTTATATATACCCTCTATCACCACTGATGGTGGTGGAGGGTATAAAAAATCATTCACTATATTAAAAAAGATATTGAAAAATCGGTCACGGAATGGAAATTAATGCACAACAAGTTCAAGTGCTATATTCGGCTATGCCGAATCTTAAATACCCTCCACCAGCAAACTACTCTTTATTAAAACCCATTTAACTATATAATTTTTAGATAACTTGACAAAAATTTTGTTTCCGTAGTGAGAGTACTAACATTTATGCATATGTGGAACTTATTTCGATCAGGTCTAGAAAAATGTATATTTATCTATACGCAGAACATACTTATGTATAATTTTATCTGGATATAATCATTTAAGAATGAATTAAGTGGTATTAAGTGATTTTCAGAAGTAAAATTCCGTTTAACGATTTATATATACAAAATACACAATTTTGTCGAATTTTATCCCGATAACTTTAATTGTCAAGTGCATTTAAGTAATTTTCGGAAATGGTCCTTATTAAATAATGAAATATGTGCGTTTAAGTGATTTGCGGAAGTGGACTTTATGTACTTTATATAGGATCCATGACCAATAACGGGAGTGATTCATATATAGACGAAACATATTTGTGTCGAATTTATCAAGACAGCTTTATTTGATAATTAAATATATGCGTTAAAGTGATTTTCGGAAGTTTGCCTTATTTAGGAGCTATGAACAGTAATGAACCGATCCGAAAAAAAACTTTTTTCGAAATAGTCTGAAATTTTTACAACAGACGGACGGGCGGACAGACGGACTTAGCTAAATTGACGCAGAATTTTATAAGGATCAATAATATACATACATAATATACATTGTTGGGTCTCAGATAAATATTTCTTGGTGTTACACATGGAATGACAAAGTTATATATACCCGCTATCACCGCAAGGGATGCCAATCCCGAAATTCCGATTCCGAAAATCCCGGGATTTTTCGGGATTAAAAAATCCCGCAAATCCCGGGATTTGTTACTAATTTTTTTTTTAAATTCTTTTAAGAGCCATAATTTCATTCAATTCGCTTGAAACTTGCGATCTTAGTTTTTTTTGACTTATGCAGAACAATATTCAGCACAGCTAATCTTGTACATTTTGAACCTTTAATTTTTTATAGTGGTATGATACCATATATAGTGCATACAAATTTATTTTTTCATTTCGTCGTAGACCCAAAAAGTATACACATTTTTTGTCTATAGTAGACTCATTCTATTTAGGCCGCAAATTTGGACCAAAATTAACACAAGAAACCGTAAAAGGACCTCCTCTGAAAATCAATTTGATGCCGATATTAATATCAATACATTACAATTAGCTATTTGATGAAATTCATTTTTAAAATATAATCGATTTGAATCTACAAAAATTGTATAATATTAAATTTCTGCGCCTTTTTTCTCTCAAATGGAAAGTATTTTGTTGTCTGTGTAGTATTTTGCAAGAAAATATTAAACCATTCCTCGATCGAAATTCATCATACCTTTTCAAATCGATTGATTTCAAATTCTTCGAATTCCATCACATACTGGTAAATTAAATTGTTCTGAATGTAGATAAAATGTTCATTTATGATCTAATTTGATATTCATAGGATTGAACGTTATATTTATTATACCCTGTACCACTACAGTGTGCTGATATTTGTAACGTATACAAATATTGGTCCTACATCCACCTTAAAGTATACCGATCGACTCAGAATCACTTTCTGAGTCGGCTGTCGTTTGACTCTTGCCCCCATACGAACCCCTTAAAAAAATATCTTAAACATCCAAAAATTTACTTATAACCATTAGTATCATGATGACATTCAGCATAACTAACTTTTTTATAAAATTACATCCCTCTTCCCAATTTTTTGAGGATCGGCCCATATTTGACACTAGCTCCCATATAAAGCCTCTTTTAGAAATTTAATTTTTCATCAATAAATTGTTTAAATACATCGGAATTAAGGTAAAATTCAAAAAAAATTTATGAAAAATATATAATTTTTAAAATATACTCATGGTGTAGGTATCATATAGTCGGCCATGTCCGACTACACATTCCTGCTTGTTTTTATTTAGGAAGTATGTATGTAGTTACCAAATTTATGAAATTATGATA